ACACGCACACACACACACACACACACACACACAAACACACACACACACACACATACACGCACACACACTCACAAACACACACTCTCACATAATCTCACACACACACACGCACGCACGCACACACACACATAAATACACACACACATACTCACAAACACACACACATACACACACACACACGCACGCACACACACACATGCACACACACACACACACACACACCCACACACGTGTGTGTGTGTGTGTGTGTGTGTGTGTGTGTGTCCGTCCCTCGACTGTGAGACCATCAGCTGTGTTTCACAGTCGCACTCAAGACTGAACCAACTCAAACCCAGAACACACTCAGATTAATATTTCAGCTCCATGTATTAATATTAACATGTCATGTTATTATTTAAGTAGCCATGTAATAAGAGGAATAATGTCCAAGTCAGACAGTCATTATCATAAAACATCATGCATCATTCATGCAAGTGAACGGTCACTACTTTATTTTTCTAGTGTGATTTCTGTTTCCACGGTAACAGAGATGGGTAATTATGGGTAATGTAGTTCTGTGCAAATTAGGCTGTTAAACATGATTCTTTAGAAGCTGAAACCACACTGTGTCTACGGAAGCATCTATCATCATTTATGCTGGGCCTGTCTGGAAGGTTTATGCAATATTTTTTTTATTTATTTCTCTGTGGAGGGAATGAATCAGATTTCTGTTTCTGAAACACGACTGAAGATTGATCAGCCGCTCTGAAGGCCTTTAACTGACCTCAGACAGACAAATCCAATCATTTTCCTTTACTGAATCTTCCCGAAAGAGGATAAAACATACTCTACCATTCAAAGGTTTGGAGTCATTGAGATATGTATATTCTTTTATTCATCAAGGATGCATTAAATTGATCAGAAGTGACAGTAAAGATGTTTATAACGCTACAACAGATTTCTATTTCAAATAAATGCTGTTCTTTTGAACTTTCTATTCATCTGTGAATCCTGAAAAATACAATGTATAACCGTTTCCACAAAAATATTGTGCAGCACAACTGTTTTCAACATTGCTAATAATCAGAAATGTTTCTTGAGCAGCAAATCAGCATATTAGAATGATTTCTGAAGATCATGTGACACTGAAGACTGGAGTAATGATGCTGAAAATACAGCTGCGCATCACAGAAATACATTACAGTTTAACAGATATTCACATAGAAAACAGCTGTTTTACATTCTAATAATATTTAACTGTTTTACTGTATTTTTGATCAAATAAATGCAGCTTTAGTGAGCAGAAGAGACTCTTTCAGAAACATTAAAACGCTGTACTGACCCCAAACTTTTGAAAGGTAGAGATCTCCATTAAAACCATCAGCCTGTCATGCTGGGGGCGGGATTTAATCGTGATGCATTTGATTGACAGCTGGGTTATCAAGTCAAGCATCACGTTTGTAGAAGTAATGTAATAATGTAATGCATTACATAAAGTACAGTTCCTCAAAACTGAACTAGACGGAAAACCAGGATCGGGTCTATTTCAAAAGAACTCGAGTTCAACAATTTAACAAAAACAACTTTTATAACTACAGATCTTTTATTATGTGCCCCAGATTTATTTATAAAAAGACAATGTTTCTCCTGTCAGCGAAGAGACAGAATGAAAATATCTGCAGTGTTTATTTGTGATGTTGGTTAATATCATACAAACACTGATGGGCTTTGGAATGATGATTTATTTATCTGATCAGCTATTACTCATAAAGATCATGGCGAGCTGTCAAACATTCTGATCTGCTGAGAAGCAACAATGAGAAATTATGATCCAAAGCTTCATATTTCACTTAATTTTTCCCTAAACTCTACTTATAATGTTAGTCATGCAGCAAAAACAAACGCTTTCCATCTCTCTCAGTGTTTTCATAAACCAGCATAAACCAGTCTAGACCTGTGTTTTTTCCTCCTCTAGGCGAGTAAACAGTTTGCTAAATCACTTCTCCCAAAAACACTGTGATCTAGAGCTCGTGCTGAAACACTGAAATATCAGAGAAACGCCGTGGATTTTTGGCAGCGCTTTTGGAAACAGAAATAATTCTGATTTGCACATTAGCTGTGAATCTCTCCCCCGCTTCAAACATCATTTACTTTCACTGACATCACACAAGATAAACTCTCAGAGGGCAGAAACGTGGATGTGAGAGATGATGATCCTTCAGATGATTTACAGGCTGCATATGGAATATAATAACAGAGGTTTTCGTAAACATGCACTCATTGATGACGCTGCTCATTTGAACAAACACACTTCATACCTCATGCATCGTACTTCTACACCAGTTTATTCAGTGTAGATCAGAGTAATAATAGTAAAATCAATAATGATAAAATAAGTAAATAAATACAGTATTTGCTGGACAGTAAGTTGCACCAGGTAAAATTTGCACTGTTGAGAGTAAAAAAACAAACATAGATACATTGTATCAGTGTATTAGTCACATTGTATTTTTACATACAGTACAAAAATAATGCAAAATAACAGCAAATAAAACTAAATGTTTACAAACATTATAAACACTATGTATTTCAGTTCCCCTCACTCCGCAATAAATCCTTTACATTTAACCAGAGCAAGAATGAAAAACGCATATTCACTATTATAAACAACACTATTATAAATGGCCAGACTAAATTAATTTAAAGCAAAACTGAAACGCATTGAGAAATGCATTGTACAAATAAACCTGCACTCATGTATTTCTCTCATTCGACACCAATACTAATGTGTTGCACGCTTGACATTAATTGCATTTTATACAGTAAGTCGCTTCGGACTAGAAGTCGCAGCATGATGAAAAAAGTGCAACTTGTATTCCAGAAAATACAGGAATAGTAAAATCTTTTGGTAATTTGAATGCATGTGAACAGACAGCAGCTCGTGAGTTTGAATCTGATGTGATCTTCTCTTAACGTGATTTGACTTTATTTTCACAGCAGACTTGCTATAATGCATCATAAAGCATCATAAAAGTTCTCCAAACAACATACAGTATAAGCACTGTATTCCAGGTCTTCTGATGCCCTAATGAAGACCTCCTCGACCAAAACTCTCAGAAAGAAAGCTATCATATATAAGTCAGTGCATAAGTTCTTTGATCAAACATGTGACCCTGGAGCACAAACCCAGTCATAAGGGTCAATTTCTCGAAATTGAGATTTATGCATCATCTGAAAGCTGAATAAATAAGGTTTCCATTGATGTATGGTTTGTTAGGATAGGACAATCTGAAAATCTGGAATCTGAGGGTGCAAAAAAATCTAAATATTGAGAAAATCATCTTTAAAGTTGTCCAAATGAAGTTCTTAGCAATGCATATTACTAATCAAACATTAAGTTTTGATATATTTACGGTAGGAAATTTACAAAATATCTTCATGGAACATGATCTTTACTTAATATCCTAATGATTTTTGGCATAAAAGAAAAATGTATAATTTTGACCCATACAATGTATTGTTGGCTATTGCTACAAATATACCCCAGCGACTTAACACTGCTTTTGTGCTCCAGGGTCACACATGATGATTTTATAGTGTTTTTAGATCATACAGGTCTGTGGCGTGTGTTTTCTCACCGTATCTCCTGATTAAAGCTCATGGGTGACTCGGCTGGATCGCGTGTGCTCCGTCAGACACTGAAAAACAGCAGTGAACATCATTCACATCATCCCAT